AATCCTGCAGGATAATGTTAACAACTGGAGGGTGACTGCTCTGATTTTAACGTCTGTTATGTTTCTGGCAGCTGCAATGTGGTTTATCGGTACTGTCAATTTCCTTCTTGTGTCCTTAGTTTAGAAATCCACCAAAGTTAACAATTGGAACCTTTGCAAGTAGGGGGTTCAACTGAACGTAATCTGGCCGAGCACTCACTGTTCAGAATCAGCTCGTTTATTTGCAAAGAGTGTTCTGGATCATGACAATCTTTAAACATTTTGTTTGAACTCGGCTCCTTAATTTTTGATTAAATGAATTAAACCCGAGCTTGTGTGAGTTTAAACTAGAGTTCAAACTTGTGTTCAAAATCACCTTGGCTCATTTACATTTGGTTACGACTCTAATGAGGGGGAATCAACTCATTGCTCGAGCTTGACTCGTTATTTAACAAAGCTTTAAAATCAAAATCGAACTTGGTTATTCAAGCAGATCTTAAACTGTTCATGAACAGATATCAAACTATTTATGAAAATCCCCTTTTATTTGCAAAGGATGCTTTGATAATAATGCAGTCTGTTTAGACACTGGAGGACACTACTATTAACGGGCTTCCAACAACCCACCAAAGCACTTGGTGTAAGTTCTAAATTACCTATCAACTAACAAACTTGTGAAATCCATCTTTTCTTTTGGCAGGGATCTTTCTTCAGAGTGTGGACAGATCTGATGAAGATATTGAGCATCCGGGCTCCATGTACGACGAGTCAAATACAACACCTTTGCTTGAAGAATGCCACAAAGACCACTGTGTCTCTCTGCCTGAACCCTAATTCCTTGCCAGAAGAACAAGTTAGTTGGTTCTTCCCGGGCCTGGCGCAAATATTATGTACATCCGTTGCTTTTATGTATCATTGTCAATAAAATAAGTGTTTTGAGAGTTGAAGGGTGTTATTTTAACTTTATGATAATTTTTAGGGTTTTTTGTACTTTGCATTCCGAAAGATTTTAAAATTTTCACTTTATACTTTCAAAGATTAAATTTTTTACATTGCACCCATAGTATGTCAAAAGTATTACAATGCGACTCTTCCGTTATTTTATATTATTTTTTTCGTCAAAAGTTAACCCACTTACACGGATAAAAAAATTAATAGAAATAACACATTATAACATTTTTGATACATTAAGGATGTGATATGAAAAATTAATCTTTGAAGGTGTAAAGTAGAAATCTTGAAATCTTTCAGAGTACACCGTGCAATTTATCCTAATTTTTATGATATTTATATATTTTAGGAATGATATTGCCATTCCGTTTATTCTGTTACCAAAATAAGGGATTTTTTAATTAAGTTGGTGGTTAAATGGTCTTTTTTTAATTTTTTTTATCCAAAAAAATAAAAAAATGAAGTATCTATTTTCGACTACAACCATAGGAAGTATTTTTTATTTTACTGGAATGAGAAAGAGAGCACCCCAATTTTACCACGTTGATCCTTGTACTTGTGGACAGGTGTCAAACACAAATGAGCGTAATTAAGACCATTTTTTTTGGGTCAATTTTGACCATTTTAAATTACTAAAATAAAATTTTAGGGGTTGTTTGATTTGTGTTTTTTGTTTCATGTTTTTTATTTTTGTTTTTATTTTTTGTGAAAAACAAAAATAAAAATTTGTTTGGAATGTGTTTCTATATTCTTTTAGATAAATTGTTTAGAAAGCAAGAACAAAAAAAAAAATGTTCTAAAAAACAAGGATAACCGAAAACACGCGGCTGCACAATTAATGAGATCCCTCATTCGAATCCAATTAGTAACAAAATAAGAGTTTTTTTTTTGTGTTGATTATAAAAATCATTTTTCCCCTTTCTTCTTTTTTTTTTTTTTGGCTCATATCTCTCTCTATAGAGACTCACTTTTTCCAACAAAGACGAAGAATCTCAAACGAGGACGAATATCTCAGACTAAAATAAAGATGAAAAACGAAGATGAAACCAATTTTTTTTTTCTCTCTCTCTCTCTATATATATATATATCAGTGTTTTAAAACCCGGCCAGACTCGACGAGTCAACTCGGTGAACCGGACCCTTAACCGGTCCGGGTCAATTAAAAGACCGTTTGTGTAAGGAACCCGGACTAAACCCGTTGAACCGGTCAAAAACTGGTAAACCCGTGAGAACCAGATAAGTTTAACAAACCAACCAGTTTAAGTTCCTTCCTATAAATCTGAGATTTTTTTTTATTTTGACATTTTCCCTTTTTTGTTTTGTCCTAAATCGTTCCACTTTCACTAGACGAGCAGCCTCGCAACGCCTCCACCACCAACCAGCTATCAGACCATCCTCGCCATGCCTCCACCACCAACCAGCGACCAGACCAGCCTCCACTCCAGCACCAGCAACGATCAGACCAGCGAGCAGACCACCATGCAGCAGCGGTTGAGCAGAGCTCCACCAACGATTGAGCACAGCCTCCATCAGCGACGAGGTGAGTTCCCTCCCCCTTCTCCCTCTCCCTACTGTCTACTGACTCTACTCTCTCTCTCTCTCTCTCTCTCTTAGAATATATTTGTGGGTTGGCATTTTTTTTTTGTGGGTTACGAATATTTGTTGGATTTATGGCCTTATGTTTGTTACTCCTGTAATTGTTCGTTAGTCCAGTCCTCAGTCTCTTTTCTCTCTCTCTTTACTTCTCCCTCTCTTTCTCTCTTTTAGTCTCTATCTCTCTCTTTTCTTTGCACTGCGCCGAAGTCGAGGTAGGAGAGATTCACTGGCCAGAGCTCCATCGCCGATTTCCATTTCCTAGCATCCCTCAAGTGTGAAATAGCACACAACATAGTAGGTACTTCCTCTTCTCTCTCTCTCCCTGTAGTCTGAAGTACTCTGCGTTGTGGGTTTGTGGGGATGCTCCAGTTTAAGGATTTAATAGTTCACTGATAATGACCGCATGCTCTAGATTGGTAGATCTATTATAATAGGTAGATCCTCAATTATTTTGTGTGATGGATTTTCATTTTTAGTTTGCTGCAAAGTTTTGCTTTGAAGTGTATGTCATACGTTGATGTGGGTTCAATTCAATGGTTGTTTATGTGTGTTTCTCATATTTTCCCATAATTAAGAATGATTTGTAACCCCTCCACCACAAATAAATTAAATACTGAAAAGCTAAAAACAATAGAGAAGAAAGTGGATTCATGTTTGATAATTTTGGGGCTTTTGTTTCATCAAATATACATTAAGCATGTTATTTTTACAATTATTGTGAATTTTTAGCCTATTTATTATCATTAATAATTTTTTTTAATTTTTTAATTATATTACTGGTTGAACCAGTGATTCATTGACCCGGTCCCTCTTCCGGGTTAATGTCCGGGCCGGGTTTTAAAACTATGATATATATAGACATAGATCTACAGTTTGTCATTGTGTGTAATTGCTGTGTGTGAGTGCGTCTGTGTTGTGTGTGTGTGAATGTGTTGTGTGCGTGGGTGGGTCTTAATGCGTCAATAAACATGTGTATATGTTGGGTTCAATTTTTTAGTGCATATATGTTGAATATATGTTCAGTTGAATATAATGATTTCCAAGCATATTTTTTTATTTTTCAGTTTTTATCACAGGCAAAACAAAATATTACCAAACAACCCTTAATTTTTGATCCCTTTGAACTCACCCTCAAGTCCTTTCAAGTTTCAACTACGGAAATCAAGCCCATCGAAATTCGAGCTACATGACTCAAGGGTGCCAACAGATTACCTTTCAGATACCAACACTCCAATCCATTCAAGGAGCGCCCACAAGTTTCTCTCTCTCTCTCTCTCATATAAATAGAGACCCCCAGTCTGTAATTTCTATCTCACCAGTCTCAACATTTTCTATTTTGGCATTGAAAGCAATGGCACCAACGGCAGCTATGCTCATACTGGGTTATAACAGCAGATCAGCTTCACACCAATCTCCTCCTCCTCCTACTCCCCCATCAACTGCACCAGTTTTCCAAGTGAAGGCCTTGGCATTGAAGTGGCTTTCAGACAATTCCATAATTCAACAAACGTCTGAAACAAAGCAGGCCATGGTGAGTCGGTCGTCTTCATCTTCGGACTCTGCTGTGGAAAAGAGGTATCAAGAAGTCCTTGAACTCAGCTGCTGGTAAATACAGATTGGCAACAGACCAGGTCCTGTGAGGTTGCTAAAGCAAGGTCCTACTCGTGTAAATTTTCTGTGAATGTTGACAATTTATCATGTACTGATTTATAGGAACAATAATCTCGCTCTCTCTCTCTCCTGTTAAACCATGTTATTGCAATAATAACATATATTCCAAACATTTGCCAATCAAAGGGTTCAGTTATATCCAGGTCCATCGCTCTCTCTCTCTCTCTCTCTCTGTGCAACCGCACTACTCCGTGCCCTCCTAATCAGTGATTATAACACACTCCAAATGCATGGAGCCACCCGCAAAACCCATACATTAGATAAGTCCAACGAGCTAAATTTCGTTTTGAAATGGTGGAAACGTTTCCGTTTCTATGAAACTGAAACAAATCATGATTGAATATTAAAATTTCTATGTTTCAATTGTTTCCATCGATGTTTCAAAAATAAATTTTTAAATTTTTTCTTTGTTTCCATCTCGTTTTCAAAACATTATTTAAATGTTTTTGTTTTCTAGCTTAGTAAAATTATGTATTGAAACAAAATTTTGATCTGTGGATAAGCTGAGATTCTAGCCACCTAGAATTCCCTTACAACACAATTGATCAAATGGTAACAAAAGAATCACTTTGGTGTCACGGTTAAAAAGCTTGTAAAGTACAGAAAAAATTTAGCATACGAGAAATAAGAGTTCCTGAATAAATGCAGCTCAATAATGGAAAAATCTCTTTCATGTAAACAAAGAAATATTACCATGACTCGCCAAAGAGATCTATGGTATATCCCAAAGAACATATGCAGAAGCACCAGCAGCAGATCATACCCAACAATTCGCATTACATTTCGAAAAAAAAAATTCGCATTTACACAAGGGAAAGCTCCCCAGAAGGAGTAGATCTTTTGACAAGTTTGGCCCAAGACTCATTGGCTTCAGTAATGACTTGCAGAGCATAATCCTGTTTATCAGAAAGTAATTCAACTTTACTAGCAAAGAACAGAATGATATGCACTACATATTTATCGGGCATATCTTGGTTGGCATGTGATTATCTTTTTTTTGTTTTGTTCAATAGTCAGGGGTGTCTGAGTCAATTTTTACGCACTTCGATTAATCCTCTCTCTAATCCAATCAAAAACAGGTTATTCCCTCCAGAATTAGAATATTCATGGAAATAAATCCCTCATAACTTGACTGTCAAGATTCGAATTCAAGACGTCTGAATTTAGAGCTCGTTTCTATTACCATTTGAGTTACCTTTTGGATTGTATATAATTATCTTCAAATGTTTGTGTTTTTGTTTTCCATTTTTGTGATGCAGTTTTTCCCCTTCTTTTTCACTTTGAGGAGAGATGCTGGTTGTGAGAGCAGGCACCCACATGGGCAATTCTAATAAATACAAAATCATTTTGTTTTCCATTTTTGTGATGCAGTTTTTCCCCTTCTTTTTCACTTTGAGGAGAGATGCTGGTTGTGAGAGCAGGCACCCACATGGGCAATTCTAATAAATACAAAATCATTCTACGTACAAAGTCCCACGACTCTATAACTCACCACCGAGTCCCATTATATAAACAGCATGGATAACATAAACAAAACACTGCTTCGTATCTTATTGAAGTTTAAGTGAACAACATAACATGGTTAAACTCATTGAGCAATTCTTATACATGTATAAAGTAACACACATTTGTTATACTCAGTTTCAGACTTTTTCATGTATATAATCCGTAAGTAATCGAAATGTGAACTCTGCAAATTCCACAATTTAACTGTTCCAAGGTCCAATGGCAGTGCAGTTTCTTAAGCAATATGGTATATAGGTGTTGTTGTCGAGATTATCATAATGCAACTTCTTTTTCCACATTTGGGGTGCACTTAACAAGTAAAGACACCACATGCATTTTGATGCACAATTGTATGTGCTATGAAATAGTCCACTTCACATACAATATACAGAAGCCAAGGGTCGAAGAGCAGTAACATAGGAGATAAGCACAGCGACAAAACTCTGAATGGATAGAAAATGGAATTTCTTACACTTAGAGAGCAAATTTAACATCATTCTGGGGTGTCAAGATCCTTCATCATTGATAGAATGATTTGATTCAAGCATGACACTCCTGAATGTAAGTAATAAAAGTAAGTATTCACCAAGATACCTTGTTTGCTGCCTTGTTGCCAAGACCAAACTTGTTAGCAGGTTTTCCATCAGGGATCTTGTAGTCTCTGAACCAGTCCCTGATTGCAGTAAGAGTGCCCTGAAGAAAATTTCACGATTAGTGCATGATATTGGCGAGTAGTGACTCTAAATTTACATATGACCTAATGAATCATATGGCTTCAACTTGGCTTTTGTCACGATACTATCAAGGAAAAAGGTACCATAGTTGGGGAACTTAATTACTGTGTCAAGTTTCAATCATTTGCTCATTACCTTATCCACACAAAAAAGCTGCTATGAATACGAATAAAATTTAACATACAATCTCTTATATCAGTGATAGCTTCTAACTTTTTTTTTTTTGCCCAAACTCTTACCATCTTCCTTTGAAGATAAATGGGAGGAAGCTGAGAGCTTATGGGATCAGCTTCTTTTTGGGCATTGGTGAATCGGTGACAAAAGACTTTGATAATATTCCTCTATTTAGTATCACCGGAAGTTGGACTGCATCATGTGGATTGTAATGTGGCTCCATTTTTCATGCCTTTTATTTTATATCTATTTTTTATCCTTTTGTTTTACTAATCATTTGGTTGGACGATTTGTCCACTTTTGATTGGTCCTTGTAACAATTTTATTATTCCAATTTTAATAAAATTGGTGTTTCTTCTCGATAAAAAAATGTGAGATTTCATAAAGGATATACTAAAGTAAGAAAGATCCCCATAGAAACACTTTGATTTTCCATTACAAAACAAACTAGTAACAGTATGAAGAATATGTTTAAGAATACTCATTTCTACCAACGTTTCTTGCACTAATGAATCGGCTTCACATGCACAAGACAATTGCGCAGACATATCAAAACCTTTTCAGAACATCAAAACCAGCATGGCATTTAGAAATATAGTCATGGCTTCCAACTTGATAAACACTGCACATAATAAATATTTGAATATTGTTGGACAAACAAGATTTGAAATATTAGCCTATCAAACAAACAAGCAAAGTGTGCCTTCGATTGTGGATTGAAAACCGGTCTAAGAAGCTGGATCACTAATAGCATGCTGCATGGTAATAAAGAAAGTGAAACAGTTCATGGAGACATTTGTTGGCATGTTTTATGAGCTAATTTTTCAAGGGGCCAGGGCAAGAGGATGCATCTAGATGGAAGCCCATAGAAAAGGGATTTTTTTAGTTGAGCATTATTATTGGGTTTTAAGGTGGCAGGTGCAAAGGCTCATTTAAACTGCCACACGATGGACAGCAGCCTTGTAGAAGGTTTAAAACATAGATGAATTATTGAGCCAAGGAGATTCTCTTGTATATGCGGGGGACCGGAGGAGAATATGTATCATCCTTGATACCATGGATTGAAAGGGAATTACTCCACTATCATTATGCGATTCATAGGGTCAATCCTAGAGCACTGGTCCATGTCTTGAGCAGTTGGAAGGGTGATGAAGGGAGATAGTTAAGCGTAGCCCCATTGTGCAAGTGATGCTGTATTTGGAAGGACAGTAAGAGGTGCCCTTTCAAGAAATAACTTGCCAACTGGGAAGATGAAATACTTGATGCTGGGCTCCATGTTCTTTGGCTTTTGACGATATCCTGTTTCTAGTGATCCTTCAGCTGAATTTCTGTATAGTACTATAGTAAGTGGTCACTTGATGTATAACTCTCTTTTTCCTTTAACAATTTCTATGCTCTTTGTTTGCAATGTGTGTAAATGAACTCACCCTCTTCATAGCTTTTAATGAAGTATCTTTACCTTTGAGAACAGTATCCATTTTGAAATACGCTGAAGTTTTTTGTCAAACTTGTTCTTACTTCATGGGGTAGGTTTATCATACGGATGCACTACTGCAATTGTTACCCCATGTTTTAATACCATTACTATGATTTCAGTGTAAAGAAAGCATAAAGATCTGGTGATATATAACTAAATTACAAGAAATTTCAGCTCATACATAGAAAAGATACACAAATTTGTTCTTAGTCAGCAAACATACCGGAAAATGCTTCTCCACGTCATCAACATCATTTACAAGTGAAGCCCTTGGATCATCCAATGAAATTGCCACTATTTTCCAGTCAAGTTCGCCCTCATCAATCATAGCTAAAGCACCTAAGGGCTTGACTTTCAGAATCTGGCCAATTTTTCCACGGCTATCCCCAATTTCAACAACATCAACTAAAAAATAATGAAACCATCAAAATAAATTAAAATGGCATACTATGAGTGAACAGAAAAATTATCAAATAGATAGGAAAGTCAAGATGTTACAATGGGTGGTAGTGGTAATATACCTGGATCGTTATCTCCAAATGCCCCATCAACTTCATGGTTGGCAAATGACGGGTCTTCCCAAGTTTGTGGGAGTAATCCGTAATTCCAGTTTATATTATACCTGAGAAGGCAATTGAACTGGTTCAGGAACATAAACAAAGAACTATACACTCGAGATATAGTTATGCACTGATGCTAAAGGTCGAAGCAGACATTAAATGTAGAAGAATCCATGGTATTCTCATTAGATCAATTAATGATCAAGATTCTGGCAAACATTAACAGTGTTATCTCTCAGGACGAAAGAGTTACAGGTTTCCTCTAAAGGTAGGAAACGAAAAATTCAGGAGGAACCGGGGGGGATAAAACTATGAGCTTCAGGGCACTACACTAACAAAGAAAGATTACAAGTAACAATATCTGTCAGATTATATAAACTTATTAGGTTAACAAAACCAGAGATCCAGTCCAGGTTTTCAACAGTATAGCCTTGAGAGCTAAAGTTCAGTTTTCAAGCCTAATTCATAATCTTTTCTGCAAAATAAGGAGCAAATATGCATTCATATATTATGTTTCTTTTCCTATACTTGATTGCCCCCTCCCCCTCAGGAACATTCCTGGGTCCATCTCTGCCAGCCGTCCACTTCTTGGAAGGACAGGAGGTAGTAGTGGACCTTGCTTCAAATATAACATGACTACATGAGAATAGTGGTGTACGTTGAGGAGTCCATCCAAGAGCAAGATTTGATAGTCATACACCATGAGAATAGGTGGAAATAATTAATTCAAGCACCTAAACAATGAAAAGGAAAACATCCACAAAGAAAAAAGTGCAACAGCATATCATACGGGTAGTAGCGCAATTTTCCTTTCTTTGTGTCTTGTTTTATTGGAGTGAATGGCTCATCAGTAGCAACCTCCATCTTTGCACTTGATTCTTTGGGAATTTCAACAATAAAACTGAAGGCACTATCACCCAAATGTAGCGGTATATCATGCCAAGGAGAAACCTGCAACGTGAGCAAACAAAATGCTTTGTGACCAATAAATTCAAGTCGTTGGAAACCCTAAAATTTCATTCTGACTCTAAATTAATTAAGGAATAAAATAAATTGGAAACCATACTCAAACTATGCAACTGTTTCTTTATAGACCTATCTCATCCTCTGTTCAATTTTCTGATATCAAGAATGGAACAAAAAATATGGAATCTTACAACAGTGGGATTTTTAAGAATTTTTCCTATTGCATTTCTACATTTTCTCGGCTGAGAAAATTTCAGCCCAAATCCAGAAAACCCCGCAAAGTCATATTCTATGCCTCGCAATTGCAGATATGTAACCACATTTCCACATGAAAACTGTTAGGCACCTCATTCGTATGAGCTACCACCTGCACTGCAGATTTTTATTCTTTATTTAGTTTTGGGATTTCTATCCTAAATTAGTTTTATGGATAGAAATCATGAATAGTTGGGTTAGATTAGGAGTTTTTATGAGCCAAGAGTTGTAATTGGCAAGGAGTCTAGTTAGTAGTAGAAGTCTAGTTAGGAGGTCTATTCTATTTATATCTTCCTGAACATTGTTTTTGGCAGAAAATTTTTTAATAAAAGTTGGAGCAAAGTTATCAAATCGTGTATCGGAAGGCGTATCGTAAGATACAAATATTGTATCGTATCGTGTATCGTAAGATACGATGCAATTTTAAATAAATAATAAAAAAATATATATACCTTTGAAAAAAAGTCATACACTCATAAAAAATATAGCATTTCATTAATACTCCACCAACTATTCAAGTTATCAACATAATCCACTACTATTATAATGCAAAGTTCACAACTATAGTTCACTAATTCAAACTTTAAACACCAAAGAGACTTCTAATCCAAATTTCTAACATCCATTTTGAACTCAATCTTCAATTTCAATTGAAAATGCATCATCATCATCATCATTGTGATCGGATGCCAACAAGTCTTCACTTCCTTTATCATCTTCAACTTCTTGTATTTGTTCATCCTCATCCTCATCCTCATCCTCATCTTCAAGTTGAACTATTTGCTTTCCTTTTTTCTTGTATAAAGTAAGATTTCTAGGCCCTACAAAGCAACCAATACAAAATATAAAAAAAATAAAATTCAAAGTAATGGAGAAGAAGAAAAAACAACCACTACATTTTAATTACCTCTCTTTCTCTTTTTGCTAGTCCCTTCTTGAACTTCAAAACATTCACCAACATTCATCCAAGTAGTGTCCTCAGGAAGGAGTGCATCTTCTTTTTCAGTGATCCACTCATCATCAGATTCCATATCTGAGAGAGAAATAGGATCATAGGAATCACCCTCTAGTATTCTCTTTTGGTGTCTTGCCTCCAATCGAAGATTGTACTTCACAAACACAAGTGCACTTAATCTTTGTTGCTCTAATCGATTTCTCCTCTTAGAGTGCACCTGGTCAAATGTACTCCAATTCCTCTCACATCCAGTGGCACTACAAGTCAAGCTAAGGACGCGGATAGCAAGTTGTTGCAACTCTGGACAACATCCTCCAAATGATTCCCACCACAAGGCTATAAAAAATTACAATAGAATACTCCATTAACTAACTTAAGCAGTTGCATTCAAATAACTAACTTAAGTTAAGTTACCACTAACCAGGTTGTTTCTTCTTCCTCATTTGGATTGCCATGTCCATTCCAAACATCAAATCAACATTATGAAAGATATCTAATTATTTATCAACTTTTTCTCTCATAATAGGACTTGGGCACATTCTCTGAATAGTCTGATATAGTCCCATCTTTATCTCATAGTCCGCACTACCGGTGTAATGAAACCTGAAATAATTATTTTGATTTACAATGATCATTGATCAGCATACAATATATAGATATAAAATGATATAAAAATTGAGAAAATTAAGTCTTACGCGGGATTGAGATAATAGGCAGCTGCATGAAGAGGTCTGTGTAATTGCATGTTCCATCTAGTGTCAACAATAGTCCATATGGGCTCATAGTGCTTCTTCACATTACGAAAATTCTTTTGGATTTGTTCCTTTGCCTTGTCCATTGCCTCATAAATATACCCCATGGCAGGCTTTAGATCCCCATCTACAAGCCTCAACACCTTCACCAATGGCAACACACACTTCAAGCAATACTTGATTGATCCCCAAAAATTTTGGTCAGCTAGTATAATATCCATCACTTTTACACCATCTCCCTTCTTACAATATTGACTTCTCTGCCATTCCTCAGAAGCAAACATTGCTCTAAGCCCAATTTTATTTTCAAATAAACTCCTTAAAGTTAAATATGAGGTGGCAAATCTGGTCACACAAGCTCTCACCAAATCCCTTTTCTTTGTATACTTTCTCATAAGATTTAACACCCAAGAATGTCTATAAATGTAAACTGTGATTTTCCTTGCCTTTGACATTATATCCTTGTGCAGAGGAAGGTCCCCAATATCCGTCAAAATGAGATCTAGACAATGTGCACCGCAAGGAGACCAAAACAACTTTTTCCTCTTTGCCATTAACAACTCCCCAGCTTTTACATAAGCCGATGCACTATCAGTTACAACCTGAACAACATTATCCTCACCAATCTCTTCTACCATTGAATCTAAAAGCTCAAAAAGATTATCCGCATTCTTACAAATACCTGAAGTATCAATACTTTTAAGAAACACACTTCCTCTAGGACTATTCACTAAAAAATTAGTGATAGAGCGATGTTTCCCATCAGTCCATCCATCAGACATAAGAGTACAACCCGTCCTTCTCCACTCTGCTTTATAATTTTCCATCAACCCACCATTAATCAAATTTGTTTCTTTTTTCAAAAAAGAACATCTCACCTCATGATACGATGGAGGTTTCAATCCCTTACCAAACGATGCAACAGATTCTAACATTCTTACAAAATATGGATCCTTTACCAAATTAAAAGGAAGGGCATTAACATAAAAACATCTACAAATATCCAAGCATACATCTTCCCTACCCTTTTTCTTCAACATAGTATTCAAAGTAATTGTGGTGGTTGGCTGTATTTTATCAGCAGTAGTACTACCCACACTGCCACTACTTTTCGAATCCACAAGACTCATATCTTTGCTAATTGCCCTATCATCCAATAATTGCTTAAAAAATTCAGTTACTTCCTCAGGGCAATGCTTACACGCTGCTACATCTTTGCGATTACTTGCCAAATGATTTTTCATTCTTGAAATGCCTCCCCAATAGACATTTGCACAATGAATGCATTTCAATTTCAACCTTGATCCTTCTACTTTGTCACAATGTTCCCATGTGGGATCATTAGCAAGTTTTTTAGTCATTTCTATATGAAAATTGGATGCAGGTGATGCCACTGTTGCACAAAATTAAAATTAATCAAGATTCAGAAATTTTTATACAAAAAAATTTATATACATTTGGCTTTGTAAATAAATTAATATCATTACATACTGCACAGGACCAACGATCAATGGAGACTGGGAAGAAGAAGAAGAAGAAGAAGAAAAAGAAGGAGTACCTGGAGAAGGAAGAAGGCAGCGATCAACACCCACAGTCGGAGACAAGCAATCACCCACAGACGAAGACCGACAATCACCCACAGTTGGAGACCACCCACAATCGATCACCACCCAGAGTCGAAGACCACCCACAGTCGAAGACCACCCACAGCGATCACCACCTACAACGTTCACCACCCACAGTCGATCATCACCCACAGTCAATCACTACCCACAGCGATCACCACCCATAGCGATCGCCACCCACAGCCGATCACCACCCACAGTCGATCACTACCCACATTCGATCACCACCCATAGTCGATCACCACCCATAGCGATCACCACCCATAGCGATCGCCACTCGTCGTCGATGGCTGAAGAGAAACTAGAGACAGTGTATAGCGATCGCCACCCACAGTCGATGGCTGAAGAGAAACCAGAGACGTCGTCGATCGAGACGTCGTCGATAGCGAAGGGCAAATATGTGAGAAATCTCTGATTTTTTTTTTGTAACCCTAACCACTGAAACGACGTCGTTTCAGTGGTTATAGGGATTAAAAAAAAAAATTCAGAGCACAAAACGACGTCGTTTATAAAAAAAAAAAAAAATTGCACGTATCGTGCGTTTCGTACCGATACGTATCGTATCGTAAAACCGTATCGTGTATCGGACGATACAACGCAAAAACGATACATAACTACGATCCGTATCGTTTTAGGGCTGTATCGTAACGTATCGTACGATACGTATCGCATATCGTAACGTATCGTACGATACGTATCGCGTATCGTACGATACTAACAACTTTGAGTTGGAGGACGATTCCCCTTGAAGTGAATCAATTTCTCACAGGATTCTTGGAACCTATCACTTGGTATCAGAGTAGTTCTTTTCATGGTATCATCATGGTTACTGTGAAAGAATTGACTGAACGTGTTGAGCAACTGGAATCAAGAATGGATCAACTTGCGGGTGGAGTTCAGGAAATCACAAAAGCCATTCACGTGATTCTGGCATCCTTAGACCAACTGGCGATGGCCCCCCGTGTAGACCGACAGGCCCCTGTTGCTCCTGCTGCACCGCAAATGGCGGACCAACAATCAGTGAATTTGCAAGATAAGCTGGTTTTACAAGGGCAGCCGATTCGTATTGACTTTCCAAGATTTGATGGTGAAGATTTGAAGGGCTGGATTTTTCGAGTTGAGCAATATCAACACCTCCATGGACTCACCGATGCACAACTGGTGCCATTGGTTTCCATTCACCTAACTGGAGTGGCTACGTCGTGGTATTGCTGGATGGTTCGTTCAATTGGTGTCATGTCTTGGACACAATTCACTAAGGCTTTATGTTTACGTTTTGGTTCGCGAGAAGATATAGATCCTGCAGCTTCTTTGTCTAAAGCTTCATCAGACTAGTTCTGTGCGAGACTACCAAACAAAGTTTGAAATTTTAGCAAATCGGGTAAATGATTTACCTGAATCTTATTTGATTAGTTGTTTCATTTCGGGACTACGTGAAGACATCAAGGTTGGGATCCGTCTTTTGCGTCCTTCATCTTTGTCAGAGGCCTTTGATTTGGCTATTTGTCAGGAGGAGTCTATTTGGGCTTTACAAGACTACTCCATCAGGAAAACCCAATAGAAATCAAGCTCTAACCGAAACTAGGCACAAAATACTTCTTCAACTTCTCCTTACACAGCATCCCCAAGCTTACCACCCATCAAGCGTCTTACTATTTCAGAACAAAAAGAGAGGCGAGAAAAAGGGTTATGCTTCAATTGTGACAAACTTTTCAAGCCTGGCCATCGCTGCAAGCGTCCTCAACTGTTGTTCATGGAAGGACATCATGCACCAGAACACGACTATGCAATTTCTGGCACCAATCAGCCTGAAACTATGCGAATTACTGGCTATTTAAAGAGACAACTTGTTACAGTGTTGGTCGACTCTAGTTCAACCCATAATTTTCTACATTCTTCTCTAGCTCGATGTTGTGGTTATCTTGTGCACAACACTACTCCGATTCGCGTAACCATTGCCAACGGACGAATTCTTCATAGTCATGGTAAGTGTAATGGAGTTGACCTAAATTTGTAAGGTTATTGCTTCAAATCTGATTTTTTCTTATTACCGGTGAGTGGATGTGATATTGTCCTGGGGCTACTTGGCTTCGTTCCTTAGGCGCCATTACTTGGGAATTTTCTAAATTAATTATGAAGTTTATTCAGGATGGCCAAGAGTTCAAGTTAGTAGGTAATAAATCCTCAATCAACACTATTGTTGATCAAGGCAAACTTCACAAATTGAGATTCCAAGCTGACTGTGTATTCTTGTTACAATTGGTGGCTGGAAACGTTGCTGTAATGGAGAGGGAGGTTTCTCCTGAAATCAGCCATAGTCTTGACCATTTTAGGGATGTGTTCGGTGACCCTAAAGGACTCCCCCCTACACGGACTCAAGACCATCGTATTCCACTGATTCCAGGTACTGTTCCAACCAATGCCCGACTGTACCGTTATTCTTATTTTCAAAAGGATGAGGTCGAGAGATTGTTAAGGAAATGTTGGCTACTGGCTTGACTCGACCGAGTGTTAGTCCTTATTCATCCCCAATGTTACTAGTGCGGAAAAAAGATGGTTCTTGGCGGTTGTGCATGGACTATCGCTCCCTTAATAGTATTACAGTTAATGATCGTTTTCCTATTCCAGTTATTGATGAGCTTTTAGATGAGCTGCATGGTGCTATGATTTTTTCTAAGTTGGATTTTCGTTCCGGTTATCATCAAATTTGTATTCATGCACCAGATATTCCAAAGACTGCATTTCGCACTCATGATGACCACTATGAATTTCTTGTCATGCCTTTTGGGCTTTCTAATGCACCATCCACCTTTCAAAGTTTGATGAATGATATATTTCGGCCTTACTTAAGAAGGTTTGTCCTTGTATTCTTTGATGATATACTAGTCTATAGCAAATCTGTACAAGACCATATGGAGCATTGTCATTAGTGTTACAATGCTTGCACCAGAATCAACTATATGCTAAACAGTCCAAGTGTTCTTTTTCCAAGTCATCTATGGACTATCTTGGCCATATTATTTCTAAAGAAGGGGTTATGGTGGATCCCGAGAAAATTCGCTGCATGATTGAGTGGCTTAAACCCAATACTCTTAAGGCTCTACGAGGTTTTTTGGGGCTCACTGGCTATTATAGAAAATTTGTGCAAAATTATGGTCAAATTGCAGCACCCTTGACTCACATGCTCAAAAAAGACTATTTTGGATGGTCATCGGATGTAGAAATTGCTTTTGAGAAATTAAAGCATGCTAGGACAACCACACCAATGTTAGCGTTGCCCGATTTCTCTCAAGAATTTGTTCTAGAATGCGATGCTTCGGGTAGTGGAATTGATGCCATTCTTATGCAGCAAGGGCGACCCTTAGCCTTTGCCAGTAAAACTCTTTATGGGAAAAATTTAAATCTCTCGGTCTATGATAATGAAATGCTTGCCATAGTCTTTGCGGTGAAGAAATGGCGACTATATTTATTAGGTCGCCACTTCACAATTCTTACTGATCATAAAAGTTTAAAATTTTTTATGGATCAACGGGTTTCTTCACTTGAGCAACAAAAGTGGGTTACCAAGCTGTTAGGATATGATTATACGATAGTGTTTCGAAAGGGGGCAGAAAATCGAGCTACAGATGCTTTATCTAGGCAAGCTGAAGAATCTACCTAACATGCTATTTCTGTAACACCCCGCATTTTCTTTTATATATGTATATAGATATATAGTAAATAATTGTTGTAAAAATGGGGATATGTGTAGTGATGTGTGTTTGAATTTGGTAGAATGAAAAAGGGATGAACAGTGCACTGGCTGTAACATCAAGCTCGATTTCGACCTTGATGCAGTCCATATCTCTCAAAACTTAAAACATGAAATTTGTAGAGCTCTCTCTTAGGATTCCATATCACCTTGAATCATCTCAATCGGAACTAGGAGGAAGGAGTTATGTCCATATTACGAAGTAGTGTCTACACTGTCCAAAAATCTGTCCGGCAGACTACCTTTCGCTAATTTCATCATAACTCTTTATTGGAAAGTCCGACTTGTGCACCGTTATTTTTGTTAGAACCCTAACTCGTATATCTTTCCAACCATATAGGTTACACCTCCTAGAAATACCTGAGTCAAATCAGTTTATTCTATGAAGTTGACCAAAAATCTGCACTATGGTGCTCCTTGGATAGTAAATGGTTGTGCTTTCTTATTAGACCTTGAAGGTGTAAAATCCCATATGTTTACATTAATATATTAATGTACTTGTTTAGTGATTCTTCTATATGTAATGACTTAAGAATAAACCATATATATATTAAAATCGTAAGGATATCACCTATAGTAGTTCGAAGGAATAAAATAAAAATTTTAATGTTCCAAGTGTGAATTTATTTTAGTTTTGAAATAAATCATAAAAAGCAATGTTTTTAGGTTAAAATAACATTAAAAATGAATCCGGAACATCGAAAAACCTTAGGGTAGTCGTATGGATCAAATTGGAGATTTCTAGTGGCAAAACTGTAATTTTGGAAAAAAAACTCAAAATTCAGCCATGAACAGTGATTTGTCGCGGACTGCTGTGTTTAAAACACAGAATCCAGCCAATTTCTTCCATTTTTTCTCACATCTCTCACCCCCAAACCCCTTAGCACCCTTGGGGAAGATAGAGGAAAGGAGGAAAGGGAGAAATGAGGTCATTAGAGCTTGGGTTTTTAGTTTGAAACTTTGATTCAAGGTAGGGGATTTCTTCTCTTTCTCTTACATTGAGACTAGGGCTATGTATACATATAGGTTTTTTTTTTTTATCTAAATCTTAGATGTATGTTAGGAAACCTTTGATTCTTGATGTCTATGCAAATATTATCATGTTCTAAACAATGTTATGGTTAGGTAACTACTTTCTCTTGTTTTTGTTCTCAACCCTAACTTTTGAGAAATATGGATTTTTCTCTCTATAGTCACTCAATCTTGGCTTTGAAAACTTTAGTGGTTTGTGTTGAGTAATAAATGATGTTGTGGTGATCTCTTGTATTTTTCCTAATTGTTTATTGAAATTGCCTCATAATGGATTTGTGGATCTTTGAAAATTTGCTTGTAAATTGGAGATTTATGGAATCCTTGGTTATGTGTGACGATTGTTGGGATAATGTGATCTTGTATGGTTGTTGGAATGAACATGGATGAGAGGTTCCTTGTAAGGATGCTCATTCCATCTCAAGAGGTTCCTTGTAAGGATGCTTGAGAAACCAAATCTTGAGGGTGAGAGGTTCCTTGTAAGGATGCTCACACCAAAAGAGGACAGTATGTGATTTTCTCAAGAGGTTCCTTGTAAGGATGCTTGAGAAACCAAATCTTGAGGGTGAGAGGTTCCTTGTAAGGATGCTCCCGTTAGAGAGGACAATATGATATCATGTGTGGGAAATGATTTATATTATGGCAATGGATGTTTATTAGCACTTGGTTGAAATTGCTCCTTTCTATTACTATTGTTACTTAAACTTGAGATTCGTTGAAAAATGCACCCGTTTCATTTCAAATTATGTATCTATGCTATGTTGAAAAATGAGACCGACCCTTTTATATATTTTTATAAACCTTGTATGAGTTGAGAGGATTTTGCTACAGAGCTTCGTGCTCACCCCCTACAAATAACATTTTCAGATTTCACACTTGAGGAGGAGTTAGGAGCCGAGGAGCCCGCCCATTGGGAGACTCCGCTTGAAGGGAATGTGAATCCCGAGGTGGACGCTTAGAGCGACACTTTTATTTTGTTCTAGACTAGATTATACTTAGAATATCCTTTTGAAGTCTAGTTCTTTTTTTTTTGTTATTTTCGCTGCGTTATATTATTACATTGTGGAGATGTAAAGGCCAAGATTGAACCTATTCTTTTGGGATGATAGTGTGGATATGACATATGATGAATGAAAGTTTATTTTATGATGGATAAATAGACCCGGTGTGGTCAATAGTTATGCATATGTGGACCCGGTGTGGTCAATTGTAATATAATTGTACAGGTTGTGTTTTGGGTAAAGCTCCCCGTACAAAGGAGACTCTGCCCAAATTTTGTTAAAATATGAATGGTTGATGAATGAACTTTCGTCGTGATGAATTTACGTAATGCTCTCATGGGGTGAATGATTTTTAGAATGTAATGTCACCCAAGGGGGTTTTTGGGGCGTTACAATTTCTTTCCCTATATTTTTGGCCATTACTGAGATCACTGCTGAATGATTGACGGATCTTTCCTTGTCCCCCATTCTTACTCGATTACGACAAGGTGTGTCTACAAATTCAGGCTATTCTCTTTGTGATGGTGTTTTACGTTATAAAGACCGAGTGGTGGTTCCCTCTTCTTCTCCTTGGTGTTCCAAAATTCTGTCGGAATTCCATGCTTCCCAAATTGGTGGTTATTCCGGGTTCTTACGGACTTATAAGCGCATCCAACGCAATTTTTATTGGAAGGGTCTCAAAAGGGCTGCTAAGAAGTTTGTTGTCGAGTGCGATGTTTGCCAACGGAATAAATCTGAAAGTATTTCTCCCCCTGGGCTGCTACAACCTCTACCAATTCTGGAGAAAGTGTGGACTGATATTTCAATGGATTTCATTGATGGGTTACCTCCTTCATTTCACAAAACTTCTATTATGGTTGTAGTTGATCGACTATCCAAATATGCCCACTTCTATGCACTTGTGCATCCTTATACAACAACTACGGTGGCTGAAATTTTTGTTTGGGAAATTGCACGTTTACATGGGATGCCTAAATCTATTGTTAGTGATCAAGACCCTGTTTTCACGAGTTAGTTTTGGGAAGTAGTTTTTGAATTGCAGGGCACTAGTCTTTGTCAAAGTTCAGCTTACCATCCCCAATCCGACGGGCAAACTGAAGTGGTTAACTGATCCCTTGAGGCTTATTTGCGTTGCTTTGCAAGCCAATAACCTTCCAACTGGACAAAGTGGCCACCATGGGTTGAATGGTGGTATAACACTTCTTTTCAATCTTCATTGAAAATGACGCCTTTTCAAGTAGTTTATGGTCGGCCTCCATTGCCCATTGCTTCATACCTTCCCTGTACAATTGTTGTTCATGCTGTAGACGTTGCCTTGCGTGATCGTGATAGTATATTGTGACTACTAAAAGAAAATTCAACTGCTACCCAGTCTCGCATGAAATATTTTGCTCACCGTCATCGAACTGAACGCTCTTTTAGTGTGGGAGATTGGGTTTTTCTCTGACTTCAGCCATATCGACAAATTTCCTTGGGCCCCCGCGGGCCACATAAGCTCTCACCACAATTTTATGGACCTTTTCATGTTCTTTCACGCATTGGAGAAGTCGCTTACAAACTGGATTTGCATATGAAATGTCGTATCCATCCAGTCTTTCACGATTTTTGCCTCAAAAAGAAACTTGGAGAAATGGTGCAACCTGCTCCACAGCTCCCTCCCATTTGTGATAGCTGTGTTACTATGTGGCAGCCACTTCGCATTCTGGATCGTGGGTTGTTTAAGTGCAACAACAGGCCAGTTACACACCTTCTTGTCCAGTGGACTGGATTTTTTGCTGCTGATGCAACTTGGGAGGATTATTCAGACTTTGTCGCTCGTTTTCCAGCTTTTCCAACTTGAGGACAAGTGGGGATTTCAAGGAGGGGTGGATATTAGGCACCTCATTCGTATGAGCTACCACCTGCACTGCAGATTTTTATTCTTTATTTAGTTTTGGAATTTCTATCCTAAATTAGTTGTATGGATAGAAATTATGAATAGTTGGGTCAGATTAGGAGTTTATTGAGCCAAGAGTTGTAATTGGCAAAGAGTCTAGTTAGTAGTAGAAGTCTAGTTAGGAGGTCTATTCTATTTATATCTTCCTGAACATTGTTTTTGGCAGAAAGAATTTTAACAAAAGTTGGAGGACGATTCCCCTTGAAGTGAATCAATTTCTCACAGGATCCTTGGATTCTATCAAAAACTTAAACCCAAAAGCTTAAAACTAATTAAATTTACACTGTTTGATCCACGTAACTACAACAGGGAACTATAAGTTAGCATGTTGACCATATTGTGATTATCAAACACCATAAAGATACCAATCAAATTAAAAACTCATGGCTTCATAGTTTTCTTTTCTTTTCCCTTACTTTCTCTCACTTCATACATCAATCAAACAAGACACTAACATCAAACCATAAACACATAAAAACACCGGAAAAAGAAGAGACCTTTTTGCCAGAATCATCGAGGAAGAAGACTCGGTAATCTAGGGTTTCGGGTTGGCCTTCCTCTTTGATCTGAACTTGGGGATTGTAAATTGCACTGCAAGTGAACAATCTTTTCTTGGGCACTAATCGATTGTTGGGGCAAAAAAAGCTCAAACTTTGAGGTCTTCGCAATGGCCCTTTGAACAGCAAAGTTGTGGCGGCAGTGGTGCTTGCTGACACTACGATTCTGGTGGCCGCCATTGACGCTGATTTGGTGGGGAACAAGTAGTGAAGTGAGCGAATACTACAAGTATTAACTGCTGCGTTAACTTCGACCACAGACCCAAATGGTCGGATTTGATTGGTGGGGTCTTCCCTTTGTTTTAGTCACCCGTGAGACATGAATCAGCGACCATGATTAAAATTTCGAGTAAATTACACTTTTTCCCCTGAATTATTATATTTATTTCACTTTATACCTTCAATTATAAAATTTTCACATTATATCATAAAAACTTTTGGTTTGAATTAAACCCCACCTACTCAAGTAGACCCTAAACCCCAATTTTAAAATTGGAGTGTGTTCCAATTCGAAACTCCAATTCTCCGTAGACATCCATCGCAAGTGGTAGCTCAATGAGTTCGTCAGAAATTGAAATCGTATCAGACTCTAATGATCAAAAGAACTCAGGACGAAACCCTAGCGAGGTACCTATAATCGATGTTTACTCTGCTTCAGCTTACGGAGATTTCGAGAAATTGCGAAAATTCGTTGAAGAAGACGGGCTTTCTCTATCTCAACCGGACGGTAGTGGCCATTACGCGCTTCAATGGGCTGCTCTAAATAATTTTGCCGATATTGTGCAATATATAATCGAGGTATTCTTAATTACTTTTGGTTAATTATTTCTATCTCAATTTTAATTGGAGTTGTTAAAATTTAGTTGAACTTGTGTTGGTGTTGAAGCATGGTGGTGAAGTGAATGCCACTAATAATGCGGGGCAGACTGCCCTGCATTGGGCGGCTGTCCGGGGTTCGATGGCGGCTGCAGACGTGTTGTTGCAGAATGGGGCACGGGTTGAGGCGGTTGATATAAATGGTTATCGGGTAATTTTCGAAATTGTGTTTCGATTTTAGAAGCGATCCTGCTGTGAATTTTTGTTGGGGTTCTCGAATGTTCCTTAAGAATTTTTTTGCTGCTTTTCATGGTTAAGTGGCTTGCAGCTATGAATGAACTTTTAGGAATTGTACGAATCTTTGCAAGCATTTTCCACATGGGGACCAAACAATGGCGTCTCCAGGAACTTTTTTTTTAGCTATACTAGCTCTATGAAAAGCAATTTTAACCATTTCAAGATCAGTATTGTATCATCTCATTTGTTCGTTGGGTTGAGTAGGAGATGTGTAACACACCCAATTTGCATTGTGTATTATTGACTAGCTCACATGACTTTAGAATGCGGTGTGCAATGAAAGTCCAAAACTTATAAGACGTCGCACACACGCTTCATCGAAAATGAGGGATACGGCACTTGTACTTGACACCCTGGTTCAATCATCTTGTTCCCAAGCATTAGGAGTCTTGACCTCTTGGTTCTTGTGTTACCACAATACATTCTCTTAGGTCACACGTCCTTGTGTGGGATCCGTTCCTCATTTCCGTTTGGTGCTAGATCTAATAGCAATTGTTATCTCCCATCTCGCATTGTACCATACTGTTCGCCTTGAACTAGTTCCATGTGATGTGACTTTAAAACACGTTATCCAAAACTTAAACCATGTCTGCACTGCTTTAAAACGAGTTATACACTAAAGGTACAAAACTCATAATTACAAAGTGCATCACACACTTCACCAATAAATGTGGATAAGGTACGTGGGATTCACACCCTCACCTCACCTCACACATCTTGACCCTAAACCTGTGACCTAAATCTCACTACCTGGCCTCTTGGATCTTGGGTCGCCAAATGAACAGTAAGCTAAAGTGGATGACAACCCTAATAATAATGAATATGATAAGAAAATCTCAATTACAAGTTCAACAAATTATTCCAACATAAATAAGCAACCGTCTATTGCATAGCACTAAAACAATTAGACATTTGAAATAACTAAATGCAATCCAATCAAATAAAATTTGGGTTTTTTTACCTTGAATAAGGCATCTCTCTCTCTCTCTCTCTCTCACATGCACACACACACACACCGCCTGAAGTTGGTGGCTTGGTGTAGGGAGTGCTGATCATTCTCGTGTATCCAGTGGTTTTGAAGTAGTTAAATTTCCACGGGTGCATCTCTTTGAATGTCAGATATTTTCTGCAGGCGGTTCATGTTGCAGCCCAGTATGGACAGACAGCATTCTTAAATCACATTGTTGCAAAGTATCATGCTGATTTCGATGTACCAGATAACGACGGAAGGAGCCCTCTTCATTGGTCTCTTAAAGATATTCCATCAATATTCATTTTTTTTTTCATTATAATTTGACTTGCATGTAGTTTTAATGCTATTGTGGAGCTCTATGAAGTCAGACTTTGGCAAAGTATGAGTAGTACTTGATTGTTGGATATATTATTAATAAATTTGCTGTCTTATTGGTCCAACTTCAATCTTGAAAAAATGCATGATGCTTAAGTGAGAGTGTGTTACTAGACGATGGACCATTGTTGTGGGATTTGTGATTAAATGCTGAACTTCAAATCAAATGTTGAACATTTCATATTGAAATCATGATGTACTTTTTTCCCATTCCCATTCCCTTTTTCTTTCTCCTATCATTTTTCTTGGAGTGCATTCTGCTTATAGGTTTATGAGGATGGAGCTTATGATTTTAAAATTGGGGCTTGGAATATTGTTATTGGTCTTTATTAATGGACTCTCAGGACATTATTTTCAATCTATGGGGTTGACATATTATTAAATGTTCATGTTTTGACCCTTTGTCTGGAACAGGCACAAGAAAAGAGAAAAATTTGAGCAAGACTACATAATTTCAAACTGAATGGGGGAAAACACTTGTAAAAGTGTTCTCTTCTCTCCAATGTACCCAATTCCATGCTTAGTGTTACAATGACATATATCTATATTCAGCTACTTTAGTAGTTTAGTTAATGATCACAGTGTCTCATTCTCTATAATTAGATGTGATTGATTTGGCGACATAGCACATTAGTTTTCATGGTTAAACTATTGACATGGAATCAGATTTAGACGCAGAATCAGGAATTTAAGGTAAAGCATGATGAATTAATGTAGATTAGCTTTTCCGTGGCAGCATAAGACACTTGAGTACTGGTTAATTCCAGCACATTAAGGCACTTTTTCTTGGATTCTCATGCATAATGCCTTTTTAGCCATTGTTCAACAGTGTTCGATGGTGATTCAATTGTTCGTCATGGCATTTGTATGTTTCTTCCTCTTCTTCTTCCTTTTCTAAACTTGGGTCATTGGCTCCATTTAAATTTTTTGTCCTCATGTGCGGTGTGTTTCCTTATTGAAGTTGAAACTGGAAACTCTCATATAAATGATTTAATAATTCTAATGGTTTTTTCAGATTAGATGATTTCATGACTTGAAGTTTTGGGGAATGGGCATTGATATGAGTTTGAATAGGAGTATTTTAAATTGATTATAACTTCTTAAAAGAAGAGCATGGTAGTAGAATTTTCCTTTAAAAGCAATAAATTATGTTCGACAAGCATTTGAATCACTCAAATTTAATCCTCTGGTGCTTCGTACTAGGGCTGCATACAATGGATTTACTGATACAATTAGATTACTTCTATTCAGAGATGCCTGCCAAGGGAGACAAGATAAACAAGGTATATTAATGTTGATTTCTGCATCCGTTGCGTCTTGGTCCTTGATATCTTTGATTTTTTGAAATTTCATATTCTCTATTAGACTGCAAATATCTAATTGCAAATAAAAATTGTGGGACAAAACTGGGCATGTGTTGAAGGAAAAAAATCAATCGCCAATAAATTCTACTCATGGTAAACTCATGCAGTTAAGTTTACCTACTGAGATGCTATATGGTTTACAGCATAGGGTGCAATCATACCAGTACAAATGCACCGAATCCCATCAGAATTCCGCAGTTAAGCGTGCTTGGGCGAGAGTAGTGTTAACTTTGATCAATCAAAGAAAAGTAAGAGGAAGAAAGATGAGAATATTATTGAGGCACAATTAGCCAGAACAAAACTTAAAGGAGAACTACATATAAGAGGTCTTTATATAGTAAATTAAGCTAGGGCAACATAAAAGAAAACAAATGACTAAACTACCCCTAAGTCTAAATATAATAATTATTCTAACACCCTCCCTCAAACTCATGATATGGTAACATCAAATATCAAGAGTTTGTGCAAAAGAAAACGGAAGCGTGCGATGGTGTGAGATTTCGTAAAGAAATGATCAGCAAGTAGCCAATACAATCAAACTATCTCTGCTGTTATGAAGGTCATAGTATGATACTCAGCTTCAGCAGATGATCGATCCACAACAGTTTGTTTCTTATTTTTTCACGAAATATGACAATCACCAATGGAGAGACAGAAACCAGTAGTGGACTTGCGACCCATAGAGTCACCAGCCCAGTCCGCATCAGAATAAGTACGAAGTTCCAGAGACGATCAAATAGCAATGAGAGGTCCAACAGAAAACCAAAGCTCAACAAAAACCACCAGTAATAATGCTCAACAAAACAAATCCCAACAAAAAAAAAACAAACTAGAACTAGTCTCAAACCAGCAGTAGTCAAAATCAGAAACTAGAACCAAAAGAAGTAGCCAACGCCTAACAATCCAAAGTTCGCCACAAATCAACTTAACAACTTTGTAAATCAAATACTCACCCAACAGTTCGTTCACAAAATTAGCCCCAAAGGCTCAAACCCACCAATCAAAAGTAGAAACAAAAGTTTCCTGCTTAATCGGTGCGAAACAATGCAAATGGAAACAAAAGTTTCCTGCTACTTATTCAATGCGAAATAATGCAAATGGAAACAAAAGTTTCTTGCTTATTCAGTGCGAAACAATGCAACGCTATATCAAATAGCAAGCTTAAACGAACAAATCAAAAACCAACAACGTGACAACTAACCAATGCACAAAACCAATCAATCAACAAACTAGTCCAAAAGCCCAAAGCCACTGTAGCAAACGAAGAAGAAACAACCAGATTAACAATCAGAAGAAGCAGAAGAAGAAGAAGAAGAAGAAGAAGAAGAAGAAGAAGCAGTAGAAGAGAAGAGGCA